ATGAAGGTCGTCGTTCCCGTGGAACTTCACAGAGGCCAGAGCTCAGCTGGACAGTCATTAAGCGACGTCGTCGCCCCTTAATGCCGATGGAGACACTTAAAATGTAATTTACAGGCGGCCTGGTGAAAAAAAAGGGGGAAGAGAAGAAAAGAAACGTCGACCAGAGCTGGAAGTCGCGTTCACCAACGTTCAACGTTAATTGGAAACGCAGAGATGTCAGTCGGTATCGGGACAGCCTAGCCGGCAGAGAAAAAAAGGACGTCTTTGACCGGGAGAAGATCAAAGGATCGCTGGAATCGCGAGATTCCTACTACTACTTGCTTGCCGCTGATTAGCGGCGGGAAACGAAACTCTTGCTGGCTCATCTAATTGCGGGGGCGGTATTTTTAGTAACCTCTGGAATGATCGATTTTACGACAGAATGGAGGAAAGATTTCACCTGTTTCAGGTGAGTCCGAGAAGTATTTCGGTGGAAAAATAATAATGTGTGTTCTTCGTAATTGTTTAAAATTTATTAAAACTTTTTGTCTGATTTATTTTCATATGGAAATTAGTACACATTTTTAACATGGGGACAGGTGTAGTAATGTTCCTTTGTTTCAATCATGATTTCCTGAAAGTTTATGTTTTCGAAAAAGCGCAAAGAGTGGAATTGGAACGAAATTTAACCACATATTAAAAGAAAAATTGAAGTACTTTTTGCTTTCCAAGTAATATTTTTCAATTACTCGATACACCAATTTCACCCTCTTTTCCTTCAAAGTCCACCGATAATTGCGAAACACAGCTCGTGCGAACGAACCACCGGTGGAATAAATTTAAACCAAATTGCAGGAAACCACCATAACCCCCGCATGGCAGCCATGCACCGCGTAGCTTCACAAAGAGATGCAAGAACAACTAGTTGTAGGGTAAGTCATCGTGTGGACCGAATCCCCCCTTGAAAAGGGCACGCGGCTTATTAAGCTAATTAGCACAGGAGGTTGGAGCAAAGGGAAGCGGGAAAATGATTAGCGTCAAGCGAAAGAAAATACCTTGGATTTTCAGCGCAGCCACACGCCGCGCCGCGAAAACTTCATTCGCTCCTCTCTGGCGTATGCAGGCAGGAGACGTGGGTCGGGTGGAGCTTTTTTTCTTCTCTCTCTCGAGAAGGAGCCCTTTCTCGCCCGCGTATCCTTTGTCCATGAGGCACAAAGGGCTGCGCCGGGCGTAGATACTTGGTTTAACCGTGTGCATGATATCGTGTATCTGCTCGAGCACGTGTGGCTCCTGCGAGATACGCGGTTCCAGGATTTAGCGTGTACCTGCACGCGGCCCATTGTCTACAGACACGCACGCCCGCAACTGAGATTAGCGTGAATGAGGAGGGAGAATAAGTAAACGTCACGCGTATTCGCTAAGCGTGACGATGTAATTTCGCGTGATTAGTGCTGCAGTTGATGAAGATGTTAAGGAATCATGTTGGTTTTGAGGAATGATGTTGATGTTAAGGAATGATGTTGATATTAAGGAATGGTGTTGGTGTCAATGAATGATGTTGATATTAATAATAATAATGTTGATGTTAAGGAATGATAATGATATTAATAAGGAATGTTGTTATCAAAGAATGATTGCGATGTTGAGGAATGGTATTGATATTAAGGAATAACGTTGATATTAAGGAATGCTGTTGATATCGAGGAATGATTGTGATGTTGAAGAATGCTACTGATATTAAGGAATAATGTTGATGTTAAGGAATGAAGTACAACGTTGAGGAAGGATTATATTTCGAGGGAAATTTTACTGGATGCTTCGATTCGCTAAAATGATTTTATTTTTAACGATTAGTGCTGAGCTTAGGATTTGTGAAGTTAGATTGCTGAGAAATGTTGAGTTAACTTGTGAAAAACAAATTAGTCTGGTGCATCTTCTTTCCATCATTACTGTGGCAGGATCTGACAAACTCCAGTTCAATTTTTCTGTTAAAATTACGCAAATGATAGTATCGTGAGTAGTCTGAAGATTATGACATTAAGTGAAATTTCTTAATAGCATTGATAAGAATTTATCGAAGAGTGAAAAGTAGTATTAATATGTAGGAGATATTGGCAGAGCAACAAACTTCTTTATTTTAACTGTGATAACGGAATATCATGTATCGTTTCTCTGAGAAACATATTAGCAAAGAAAGCAAAATGTAAGCTTCTTACGTTACAAAAAACAAGGAACATTCACGATACAAAAGTAACGCAGCCGAGCAAGAATAAGAGATTTTTAAGAAAGAGGATTATCCTTAAAATAATAAAACGTAAGAAAAACACAACTGAAATGAGATCTCGAGAAGAAATTATCTTGCCACATAGCTAGTACATATTGTTAAGAAAATTGCAACATTGCTCGTTAAGGAGCTGCAGAAACTCAAGAATAATAAAAGCAGAATTTTTCTCGTATATGAAAACGTATTACATTGAAAAATATAATTTTAGCGGAAGTTCTGAAAAATTTCACTGATAAATTCCAACTCGGTGATTTTTTTTAAATTTTCCAGAAGACACAAGCACATTTTCAAAAAATCGATTTTTTTCGTAGCTAAATACAGAACAAAGAAAATAAAGAGCTAAATATTCCTCTAATAACAAATAAAATCTCTACCATCAAGTGAAAGACAAACAATTAAACGAAAGATTACCAAAAAGAAGTTTAAAGTTGACCGGGAATCGATGGAAAATTGAAAGTAGAAATTTGACGAAACAGTATTCTTGGAATTAGCAATTAGATTTACGCAAGCAACAGAAGTGTCTAATTTTCCAGCGAAAGATTTTATCTATTTCCCTCAAAGCAGTGGAATTTACATAGGAAAGGTTCGATCTATCGGAGCGCGGTATTTTCTCGTGATAAAACACGATCAACGCAGGTTTGCTAATGCATCGAAATGCTCTTGTACACGCAGCTGAATGCATCAGCTTTGCGAGGCTATTATTGTTCCAGGACACGCACACGAATGATAGAACTGAGATTAGTGTCATCAAAGCACCCACATCCGACGCAGTGTGAACTTGTGAAATGCCATTATGCGGATTGATTTGCTAAATAAATGTTTTATCAAAATTACTGAGAAGCTACTACACTCTATTTCACAATGCACATCGTTCGACCTTAATACAAATTCTGCATTGTATTATAGTTCCAATATATTGTATTGAAATAGCTGTATACATGATCCATGTGAATAACAGAAACCGTGTAACGATCTAATAATTTAACAACTTAGTTTCTTTAATTTAATGAATTATTAGTGTCACTTTGGCTAATTTCGTTTCTTTCAATTTTACTAAGTTTACGTCTAAA